GTGGCAGTTGTGTTGAGTTGTTGGATTCTACTTACGCTTGCAAGCTACATTTGTGCTGTGCTTCCTGTCTGAGCTCAGAAAGTTTCTCTATGGATACATAGGCTGTAAGGCAGATGAGAATCACTTGGGAATGTATGAAACACCATGTAAGCCCCAAAACTTTATAGAATCATAGAAAATTAGGGTTGGAAGGAACTTCAGGTGGTCATCTAGTTCAGCCCCCTGTTCAAAGCAGGACTATCCCCAACTGGATCATCCCAGCAAAGGCTTTGTCTAACCAGGTCTTAAAAACTTTTAAGGATGAAGATTCCACCACCTCCCTGGGTAACCTGCTCCAGTGTTTTACTACCCTCCTAGTCAGAAAGTGTTTCCTAATATATAACCTAAACTTCCCTAGCTGCAACTTGAGACCATTACTCCGTCTTCTGTCATTTACTACCACTGAGAACAGTTTAGCTCCAGCCTCTTTGGAACCACCCTTCAGGTAGCAGAAGGCTGTTCTTAGATTTCCATGCCCCCCGCCCCAGTCTTTTCTTCTTCAGACTAAATTAGCCCAGTTCCCTCAGCCTCTCCTCCTAAATCATGTGCCACAACCCCCTCACCATTTTTGTTGCTCTCTACTAGACTCTCTCCAATTTGCCCACATCCTTTCTTGTAGTTGGGGGAAATGGGGGCTCGGGGTGGGGACTGGACACAGTACTCCAGATAATGGCCTCACCAGTGCTGAATACAGGGGAAGGGCAGGCAAGGTTCTTTAGGTGAATCTGATATCTTTTATTAGACCAACTTAAATAGATGGAAAAAAAATTTTAAGCAAGCTTTTGGGTTTAAAAACCCTTCGTCAAGCCGAGGAAGTTTCTGTAGTTGGTGTGTGGATGGAATGAAAAGTAAAGAAGCCAGAGGCTGGGGGGGTATGCATAGGGAATCAGTGAAGATGTAAATTGAGGAGTCAGTGGGTGAGAGACAGGTTGGGTGAGGGGGAGAGAAGGGGGGTGAAGAGTGGAGAGGTACCTGGGGAGTCAGATGTCAGGCAGGTGTGTCATAAATCCAATGTCTATATTTAGTCCATGATTTTTAGTATCCAGGGGGTGAAGAAGAGTTCATAGTCTCATCTCTCAGAAGTGTTTTGTAAGTTCCCTTTCAGGATTAGAACTGAGAGATTGGCGAGAGTGGTTTTCTTGTGAGGAGAAGAATCACTTCCTTCAATCTGCTGGCAATTTTCCTACTAATGCAGTCCAGTATGCTGTTAGCCTTCTTTGCAACAAGGACATGCTGTTGGTTCATATTCAGCTTATTGTCCACTGTAACCCCTAGGTTCCTTTCTGCAGAGCTGCTGCCCATCCACTAAGTTCCTAGCCTGTACGGGTGCATGGGATTGTTCTGCCCTAAGTGTAAGACTTTGCACTTTTCCTGATGAATTGCAGAAACACCTGGCCCTCACCCTCAGCGGAGCAGAAACTATTCAACTGATGTTTATCCACTTTGTCCAATGTGTATTAAATGCAAGGTGAAGAAAATCCACCAGGAAAGCAGAAGCTAAAATACTTGGCCCCTCCTTGTCAGGGTATATCTGTCTTATTGAACTACCCTCTTTTTAATTTGCTTTCCTTTTGGTCCTAGCAGACTAGCTTCAAGAGTAGGGCTACAAAGTACCCTAGGCAATGTTCAGCCCATGGCCTAGTAATAAGAGTTATTTGCTGGAAAATGGGAGACTGCAGATTCTATATGACTTCATGAGTGAAGGTGAGATCTAGAACTTGGGTCATCACATTCTCTGGAAAAATACCTATGAGGTTATTGGGTTAAAAGGTAACATATGACTTGTACACTGAGTTTTCCCCACTGCTTCATGCAATACCAATACCTAGTATTAAACAGCTACAAGGTTTCATAGTTTCATAGTTGGAAGGGACCTGAGCAGATCATCAAGTCCAACCCCCTGCCATGGCAGGAAAAAGTACTGGGGTCAAACGACCCCAGAAAGGCTTGCCCCCCTCTTAAAGCCCCCCCCGGGGTAGGAGCCAGCACCACTTCGCTTGGAAGTTGGCTCCAGGTCCTAGCCACCCTGACTGAAGTAGCGCCACCTGATGTCTAGTCTGAATCTACCCTCTGCCAGCTTGTGACTGTTATTTCTAGTCACTCCTGGTAGTGCTCGGGGGAACAGGGACTCCCTCAATGCCTGCTGGTGTCCTCTGATTAGTTTGTAACAAGCCACTAGATCCCCCCCCTCAGCCTTCTCTTGTGAAGGCTCAACAGGTTCAGGTTCCTTAGCCTCTCCTCATAGGGCCTGACCTGCTGCCCCCTGATCATGTGGGTGGCCCTCCTCTGGACCCTCTTGATGCTGTCCACATCCCTCCTGAAGTGCGGCGTCCAAAACTGGACACAGTACTCCAACTGTGGCCTGACCAGTGCCGCATAGAGGGGGAGGATCACCTCCTTGGACCTGCTCGAGATGCTTATAAGGTGTTATAAGATAGTAATTAATTCTTATAATACCCTGTGAAATTCACATTAGTATGCTTAGAAAGTTAAGTGATTTGCCCAAAGCTACCCTGGTTAATGATAGATTCAGGATGAGATCTCATGTGTTCTTAGTCCTTTATTCAGTTCATCAGAACATACTACCACACTCATCTAACCTTCATACACTCATGCAAATTCCAAATACTTAGTGAGAATAACCTATATAAACCAGTCTTAAAAAGCTTTATCAGAATGGACCAATTTATGTTATTGGGGTTCCTAAAAGGCACTGAAATCCATTATGGATCATAAGAAGGTGGACTGGAAGAGACCACATGAGGTCACGTAGGCCAGCCCCCTGCTCAACGCAGGATCCTGAGTAGACCATCCCAGCTAAGTGTTTGTCCAATTCAGCAGTTCACAAACCCTGACAGATTGTGCACCACCAATTTACAACCTTAAGTACCACCAGCAAATGTTTCAGTTTAACCTTAAGTGCCAACAGCAAATTTTTGTCATAGTCATTATAATAAATCTGTTAACGCGTACCACTGACAGGGTGTCTGCATACCACTGGTGGTATGTGTACCACAGATTGGGAACCACTGATGCTCTTGAAACTTCCAAGGATGAAGATTTTACAGTTTCTCTAGATAACCCGTTCCAATGCCTGACTACCCTCATAGTCAGGAAGTTCCTCTTAATCTCCAACCTAAATTTTCCCTGCTGAGGCCCACCTGCTCCCAGTCCTGTTTTCTATAGCCACAGAGCAAAATCCATCTCCATCTTGTCTTTAATTACCCGTTAGGTATTTGAAGGCCGTTATCAAACGCACCTGAGTCTTTTCTTCTGCAGAGTATATAACCCTGGTTCTTTCAGTCTTTCCTCATACATCATGCTTCTCAGGCT